GGAGTTCCACATTATGCCTTCGATGCTGTCAGCACAATGTAGAGCAGGCGGGCGAGAGACAGATTGAGGAAATGAGGTAGCAGAAAGTTAGAAAGGTGCTGATTGGGGTCATCGGAGGAGAGCAGAGGAAGAGGAGGGGAGGGGGAAGGGGGGGGGTAGTGGTGGGGTTGATGCATCTGCTGTCAACTGGCTGCTTTCTGATTTGACATCCTCCAGCTCCATCACACTGAGTGGTTCGCTTACATACGCACACACACACACTTGTACATGCATGTTCAATATTTAATCATATGACCACCGGCAGATTAATCACCTCGTCTTTCTAGAAGACAGAAACCTGTTGTCTTTTCTTCCACTGCAGCTCGCTCCATGTGCTCCGTCTATCCATGACTCAGACTGTGAAGCACTTAGATCGACTTGGAAAAAGCCCCCGTCCAGCAGGCGCTGTCACTTTTTTGCACTTAACTTAAGGCTTCATATGACTCATCAGAGTGTTCTTGTTTGACTGAGATAATGGAAACAATCCGACAATTGTTTTTCCATCCACTCGGGATGACTCGGGTCTATTTTCAGAGTGTGCTGATGTATTGTGTTTTATGTGTCGATGCTTTGCTGATGTGTCCGAACATTGTAATGTGACTCAAAATGAACTGATGTGCTAATTATTAATAATAATAATAATAATAATAATAATAATGATAAACTTTATTTGTATAGCACCTTTCCTACAAGTATTGCAGCTCAAAGTGTTTTACAGCAGATCAAGACATAAAAAGAGCATCACAAAATAAAATAACAAGAAATTAAATAAATAAATAAATTGTATTAAATATTTGAAAGTTGCATTTAAGATGCAAGATAGTATAAAATAGCAGTGAAACATAACCCTATAGATAATCAATTTCCACAAGATATTATAAAGGTAATTTAACTGAATGATGGCCACTTTATTAATTCTACTCTTGATTCCTTCGACGAATATTACCCTCAAATCTGAAATAGAAGTTTCTCCAGTATATAAGACACAGTCTGATTTTTAGAGGTCTCCAAGAGAGATGTCTACATTTTATTCCAGACTATTAGAAGCTGAAAAAGAAATGTAGGGAGATGGCGATGTGAGTGGTTTGCTCCACTGTATATGACTCAGAAAAACTAAAATATTTTAAATTATGTAAGTCTAGATTGCTATTGGCGACTCTGCAGAAAATATAGAAACAGAAAATAATCCTTCACTTGTTTCTGGTATTTTTTCCTTTGAATTTCTATTTCACTGCTTTAGTTTTATACTGTTTCTATTATGCAGAGTTTTACTGCATTTTCCATAAATTACTTATGGCGGAGTGTTTCTGTCAAGTCTAGTGTTGGTATGAAACTCAGAAAGTGCAGGTAGAAAAAAAGCTTTCAGTGTTTGACAGAGTCAGTGTTGCTCTTGGCAACTGATAGGTGCAAAAGTACCAACAACTGCAGTTCCTCGAGTGTCCACTAGAGGCTGGCTGCAGAAGACTCGGAAGTCACATACACACCCATTCAAAAAAGCCTGTTTTTACAGTAGACATTAACATGTTTACAGCCTGGTTCAAAAAGCGATATAAGTCTGATTAGTTATGGGTTAGGGTACTGTACAGGGGGTGACTTTTTTATAACCGCTATAACGATACGTGAATCTCTATTTGGCGGCTTGATGAAAAGGCAGCACTCTATGTCACATGACTTTGTTATGAATACACTTCTGTTGAGAAGGTTGTGAAGCAGAGTATTCCCCATGGTGAAGAAAAGCTTCATATTACCTCCACTGTTTGAACAAAATTAGATTTCCTGCAGAAAATAAAAACTCAGCATGTAGCAGAACAGTTTATTTTTCTCTTTCTTTGGTACCCTCTTCTTTCTAGTTTTCCATCGACTGGAGAGCAACAAACAGGTTAAATAGAAGTTGTTGCAGAGGCTGGAGGCTTTAATTAAACTGCAGCATTAAACCAATGTTGGGCAGCATTTTACAATAATCAGGCTTTAGAGGCGCAGATTCAACTTTTTGTTTTGGAGTCGTTTCAACTTTTAGTTAAAGGCAGGGGTGGTCATTTTCAAAAAATAGCATGATTTAGAAAGTAGCATTCCCTCAGTGCTCTGTCTGCACCCACCCCCTCCCCTCTGTGCTCCCTCAAAAGCCACGCCCCCTCACTTACATGGGCTAGAGCACACAAGAGGTAGAGCGTGAGCAGGGAGACACGGAGGCGTCTGATTGGTTCATCAGATTGGTACCTCGTGGCAGACATTGGTTGAAGTTTTTACAGACTTACAAACTGATACAGATGATGGATTTTCTTTGTTCCTTTTTCAGAGAACATGAGTTATTAGTTTCTGTCAGGACCTAAAGACAACTTCAACCAAAATCTTAAAAAGTGGACATAGAGGAAATGACCAACCCTGACTTTAAAGTCATTCAGGCAGCTCAGTGGTTCCTGGACCCCAGGTAGCTCTCTCCACAATAACATCCAGACATAGTGACTATTTTGAAGATGTGGAGAGAGAGAAAACAGGATGCCCTTTAGATCCTTCAGTCGGTCATAGTCAAGGATTTTATGTTTCGAAAAAAGCAAAGGCAAGCCGAAAGAGTTAGATTTCCTCTTTTATTCATCATAATTACAGTGAGGGGGGACGCCTTCAAAGGAAGAATGTTGAACTATTTGATGTGGTAGATGTCGTCAGTGCTTAGTGCCTAGTGGTACGTTAGCCTGCCCCATAAACAGAACAACAGGTCGTCCTCAAAGCAGGCGACCCGAGCTTGAGTCCGACTTGCGACTACTTTCCTCCTAGTTATTCTCCACTCTCTTTCAGACTCAATCAACTGTCCTATCTAAATTAAAGGCAAAAAAAGAAAACCTGAGGTTGAGTGTTTCGATCGATTCTGCTGCTGCAAAAATAAACTTTTCCAAAGTCTAGTGTAGCTTTCCAAAGACGGCCACAGCCTTTGCAAAAATAAATTTTTAACTCTTATTCAACTCTGCACGCAGTATGTGTCAGGATCATGAACAGAAAACAGCGAGCACATCTTAAAAATGTTCATCAAAGCTGTTTGTGTTTGTGCGTTGGGTTTTGCGGAACCCTTCTCATACCGAATGTGAGATAACAAGATATAGCTGTGAGGAAAAATGAAAGCGTTGCACCACTTGAAACTTGGACTTACAACCCATTGGAGCAAATGAGATGGGTGCATGGGAGGCGTCTTCTGTAGCTCTGTTAGTAATTGCAGGTCCCACTGTTTTCGAGGGACTTGAACATATCATTAGATCCAGCGAGCTGCATTAGTGTGAGGGATGGCAAAAGCATCAAGCTGTATCTCCCAATGGTCCTTCATTAGCCACTAATCCACTGATGATCGTTATTAGTGAGAGAGGAGTGAATGTGTGTGTGTTTGTGTGTGCGTGTGTGTGCGTGTGTGTGTGTGTGTGTGTGTGTGTGTGTGTGTGTGTGTGTGTGATGCATTTTGGCTTGACGCTCCGTATATTAGCCCAGTGATTTATTATCTGGGTAATGCCGGCCCTTCTTCCCAAAGCTGCATTGTCCTATTGCCAATTAATTCTGAATCTGTTACGACCACAGGGAGGGAGAGAGAGAGAGAGAGAGAGAGAGAGAGAGGGAGAGAGAGGCTAAGACGGATAAAGAGAGAGAGAGAGAGAGATTATCAACATATACATGGGTTGAACTCCAGAGTCAAGTGGAGTGTTATATGCTTTATGTAAGATGTGCTTAATTTCTCTCTTCTGTCTTCTTTTGATGTCCTCTTATGTTTTTTTTGTTCTTTAAACTTTTCCCTCGCTCCCTCTGTTCTCTAACGCCATTGATTTATGCAATTGCTTTCTCATGTTTTTCTTTCCTCTCCTCCTTATTAGGTTGTCCACTTTTTTCCCCGTTGTTCTGCTGTTTCTATAACAACCACCGGGGTCATCTCTCAGACCGCTGCGTTTCACTCCTAATCGCGTTCATGCGACACTTGACTAACAGCTAATCACCCAACTCGGATCTCTTGCTGTGCCCTATGAGCCCCCCCCCCCCCAACTGCCTTTTCTCATCTCACTACTTTCAGTCATTTTGACACGTAAAGGTTTGTCAAGTGGAAAGCGAGTGATACAACCGTACAGAATCAGAATCAACTTATTTTTTTTTTTTTTCAACAGGTTCCCTTTAATGACAAATTGAAGAGCAATCCTTGGGCTGCAGCCCTGAAATTACTCCTCTGCCCCCCCCCACCTCCCGCTGTGAGCCAGCAAACACGGCTGTGCGCTGCATCTTTGTGTATTCAAATGTGTGTGCGTGCGTGCGTGCGTGAAGTGATGAGGTCTGTGCTGGACCTTTTTTTTCTCGGTGTTTTTTGCCAGTGTCAATATGATTGCTGTTTACTGCGGGTGCAGACAGCGCAGCGCTGATTATAATTGCTGGTTCAGATTGCAGAGACGACCTCCTCAGTTTCTACATGATCATACGTCAGCATTCCTTTTTTGAGGAAAAAAGATGGATGGCTTAAAAGTCTGTGTGATATCTAACCTACAAATACTTGAACTTAAGTGTTGCAGAAAGGTCTCTTGGAATTTGTTTTCTTTTTTTTTCGCTGCATTGATACAGGATCGTCCACATCGACATAATCTCAGCCTCATGGATTTACACACGTCTAAAATCCCTCAAATGCAACACACAGCCCTCTGTCAGGACTTGTGTTACAGCTCGTCTGCAATCAGATGTTGCTGCTGTATTTAAGACACATTTGGTCATTAATCCGCAGTTCACGTGTCAAACCATCTGGGAGGATCTGCACTGCTCACGCGTCACATACGATCCCTCACACCACTGGCTGACATCTGCAGTCTAAATGTAGCAGCGATTATACTTTTAACATTTGATCTGCCAGTCACACAAACTACCCTCCACTCACAATAACTGTCCTTTCCTTTTCCTGTCATTTCTCTGCAGGTTCAGATTGGTACCTGATCAGAGTGGAGCTGACTGTGACGGATGTAAACGACAATGTCCCCGAATGGAGCATGGTTCCTGCCCCCTACCTGGCTGTGGTCTCTCCCGACGCTCCTGCAGGTTCGCTGGTCTACAAACTGTACGCTCAGGATGGGGATGAAGGCAACAACGGGGAAGTGGAGTACTTCCTGTCTGACGGTGGGTCATTTTTCCCTTTGTGTAACATTTCATTTAAAAAAAGGAGACATTGATTTTGTTCAATTTGAGCATGTTATGTCAGAATGCCCTGAAGAATGTAATCCCTCACAATGGTTGTTTCTGCTATGACGTGTTTGAAACGACACACTGACGGCTCGATTCACTAAGAATGGAATAAGAATGTAAAAAACTCAGAATCTGCACAGTCTCAACGTCTACTTCACAAAGCTTCCAACGCTCCTGATATTCAGGCGCACACATGCCGAAAATGTCTGGCTCGTGTGAAAAATGTCCACATATTAATGCTGAGGGTGAGGGTAGGGGACACTAGATTTAAATCAAATCTTTTCCTAGATGGAACCAGACAAAAAAAAAATCACTTGCAACCCCACCATGCATAACGGCCAGAGGTGCTGCTTGTCAACAAGGCAAGGGCTTGGGGCCCCTGGCCACTTGAAGGCCCCAAGGGTTGACAAAGTTTAAACCACAGCAGTAGCTCAAAATGTGCAAATTTTGTGCAAAAATGGACAGTTAGAAACCTCCCTTATCGGGCCCCGTGTCTGACAGCACTCCCTCGTGTGTTACTCCTGTGAAAGGAGTTCCTCATTGAAAATCACTGAAGGAAAATGAAGAGGAGTTACCTGTTAAAGAAAGAGGAAGAGCGTCGGGACACTCGTAGATAAAATAGTGGTTGGAGGGGCCCCTAATTCATTTTTGCCTAGGGCCCCAATAGACTTCTCCACACGTGGAAGAAGTGTCGAGTCGCTGACAGACCTGGACTCAATCAACCCCTGATAATTTAAAGTCATATGATTCACTGGTATGTTTCTCATGTGGCCTTACTGTCTCTGTTTTTATTTCTTCCTCCTTTTTCTTTTTCTTTATATTGCCTGTTTTTTAAACTCACTGTCCTGTGTCTGTGTCCAATTGTACTGTCTACCTCTTGCAAATGTTTTCCAATGTGGTTTTCAAGCTACAAATGGCAATAAACTGAACTGAACTGAACTGATCTTTACAGCTTTATTTACAGATCAGTTATACGTAAGTCATAGAGAAGCACATTAGCTCTCCTGATCCCTGGACAGTTTGTGCACAGCATCTCTTTTAAATAATGCGCTACAATCACCACCGACTCTCTGCAGATGGCGATTAAAATATAATAAATGCATTATGGCACATTTAAATATGTTCAAACAGCACTGACTGCCTTTTTAACAAAAATATTTATTTATGGGCTCCTGACAATAAATGACTTTATTTAGAGATAGGACAGTGGATAGAGTCAGAAATCAGGGACAGAGAGCGAGAGAGAGAGAGAGAGAGAGCGGTGAATGACATGTGGAAAAGGAGCCACAGGTCGGATTTGAACCCAGGCCATTTGAGTGACTCTGCACATGGGGTGCGTGCTCTACCCACTCGTCCACAGTATTTTCCGACCCATTTGCACTGGTTAGCAGGTGCAGAAGCCGTGCAATGCTATTTTGAATCAGGCCCTCAGTGACAAAAAAAACAACCTATAACGTTACAACCGCTTGGTGTTGAATCTGCAGCCTTCTGTGATTCACATCTTCACCATGAGAGAGTTTAAAAATGTCTAGTTTCTAAACTAAGTTAAGTTAAAGTTGATTCATAGACAAAAACCTTTACATTACTTATTGGTATTATTGGTGTGTATTCTGCAGAAGGAACAAACACCCGACTTGGACGTCTTTCGTGCACACTGGCTTAGTTTTGACAGGTATATACATTTTGTCTGCCCATTTTAGAACACTTCCTCTGTAAGACACTGTGGTTCAGTTTCCCCCACGGGGCCGACTGAGGATGAATCACTTTATAAACTAAGTGAACACAGAAACATTGATTGGAGTTTCCTAATTTAAACGTCTTGTTTATTTGGATTGGTGTTGGTGTCATTTATTATGTTTTAGATGTTTTTAAGAAGGTGTTATCGGGCTCCGTTATGTGACGTACAGCTCGTTAGTTTTAACATCTAATTCTCTCTTTGCATTTCACATATCAACAACGGAGCATCCAGTCATATTCATTGATTTATGGTTTGAGTTCAGCATGCATTTACGACTCCTCTGACGGCTCCTGAAGGCAGACTTTCTTGCACACTTTCTCGTCTCAGCAGTCCTTAGCTCTGTTTGGCTCTGAGCTGGAACATAGGGAGGCTGTTATGTGTCTCACTACTCTTTTCCTTTTGTGCTGAGAGCAAAACCAGATGAAAGTCTGGCAGAAAGAATCAAGATCAATACGGGAAACTCAACGTATTCTTCAGCACCTCTTTAGTTCATCTGCTGATTATTTGAGGGAGAAAGACTCCCACAATTTTCTTCAAACAACTTTGATTGAATTATCGGTTTCCTTGTGCTGCTCTCACTGGTTCCTTCCAATTCTTTTTCCCTCCAAAGATATAATTTGCATCACCATTGTGTCTCCAGAAAGACTGTCTTTAAAGCTCTCAGTGTGTAGGATGAAGTAGCATTCAGCTGTGAGATTTCAGAGTAAATCAACTAGCTGAATTTTGAATTTCTGTAAATGCACAGATCCACTTTTTTTTCAGTTCTGAGCCGATTCCAATACATATATACCGATACTGATTCAGATATTTTATTATCATAACTAATAGTGTTATTGTTATTGTTGGTAGTATGTGTAAGGCTGAACAGAGCTGCAGTAAACCTCTCCACTGCATCGTGATGGCTTCACAAACAGAAAGCGGCAACAGCTGCCAAATTTTTCAAATTAAACCAGGGGTAACTTGTGTCGAGAAATTTAGAAACTTGATAAATTAAATTCTTACAATTTTTTTGTGGAATGAAGCAACCGTAACATAAAAATCAAGATGATCCTCTTTGCCCTCTGGAGTTATTTTTACCAAGTTCATTTAAATGTAACATTTTGTGAAAACATGTTGAAAAAAAAGTATGAAAACAAACTTGGAAAACACATTTTGAATATTAAATTCCTTTTCTGCTGATGGATTCCTGAAACCTTCCTCAATCTCGGCCCTGAGTGATGATATGATATTAGTTAGTATTTAGGGTTAGGGTAGTAATATTAGGTGCAGTCAGATGAGGATCAATTTGTCGAGGGTGTGGAACATTTTAAAAATGTATCATTAAACAAAGTGATATGTGTAGAAATTAAAATTGAACTGATTCTTAAATCAGGATGCATTTTGCTTCTGTGTGCAGGCGGTGATGGTCGTTTTGAAGTGGACAGGAAGAGCGGGCATGTACGGACCACGGGCCTCCCCCTGCAGCGGGACCGGGAGTACCTGCTGACCGTGGTGGCTGCAGACCGGCTGGGCAGCCGCAGCGCCCCCGCCGTCGTCTCTGTGGTGGCAGGAGCCCGGCCGCCGCAGTTCACCAACGCTTCTTTCACCATATCCATCCCAGAAAACACCCCCGAAGGACAGGCGTAAGTCCACACATACACACTCTCTACAGAACATCCTCTAAATGATCCATGTTGAACTTATAATGAATACATTTCTATTATCTTGCCATGCTCAGACATGATTGACATCCACTTGAATAAAAAATAGTTTACAAAGATTCTCTGAGTCTGACTTCTCACCGTAAACAATAGGACAAGAATGCACGAGTCACACCCAAGCCCTTCCAGAGAGGGGGCGTGGTCAGACACAGCTCATTTACATATTTAAAGGTACAGACACAGAAACAGCCTGTTCTGAGCAGGGCTGAAATAGAGGGGTTTATAGACATGATCAAATACAGGATCAGAGTGGACTTAGAACAAGAAACTTCACACACATGTTTTGAGGAGCTCTGAGACTTATTTACACTGAAGAGGAGGATATGTGACATTTAATGGTTGGACAGATTCATCCATATTTGACCTTTTTTTTCCTTTTCCTTAATGCATAAATACATTTTCATTCAACAGAATACTGAACATATTTTTGTATTGTTAGCATGCTACATTTAGCCTTGAGTGTGTATGATAGGCAGCACACTATTTAAAGTCGTACCTGCAGCTGTAGATGCGCACACGCGCGCGCACACACACACACACACACACACACACACACACACACACACACACACACACACACACACACACACACACACACACACCCTCAGGTCTGAGTATAGTGGTGACAAGTCTCCTTGGGTTTGTTGCTTTATCCCTTCCAGCTTCTTTTATTGGACATCTTGAAAAACCAATAAAGTGGATATGTCAGTCTAATTTATTATGATGGTTTCGTCAGAAATACCCTGAATGGGTTAGATAACACATCTAATAATAGCCTAGCTCTTTATTCTGCACCTGCCTGATTATTATACCTGGTGATAGAAATGAACTTGAAGTTATTTCTTCTATTCATTTCACTTTGGAGTAAAATACACTCAACATGTTGTTGAAGCTTTGTCATGACATCTGAGCCTCCATCAAACAGGTACACACACTGAGAGATCAATCATCTATCTCTAAATACTACATGTTTTTATTGCGATAAATTCAGACTGTTTATTGATGATCGGTCAGCAACACTGGAAGTATGAAGCTGCGTTTTGACTTGTGGCCTTATCGGGGTCATCCCTCAAAACCAAGTATTTGAATCACCCCATCAATGGAAAAACGATTAATCTCTAAGTTGTTTTTCTAACTTATTGACCAAATTTTCTTGTCAGTGCTAGAAAAAAACAGGATTACCCCGATGAAGGCCACAAGCCAAAAGGCTAAAACAAGTTTATCTTCATACTATGAGTGTTGCTGCTGCTCTACTCTCCATGCACCTTGGTAGTTGTGTGGAAAGCCCACTCTGTTCATTGCAAATTCACATTTCAGTAACAATGCCATTGCGATGTCTTGTGCAGCCCCAATTTTTTTCACTTCAGGTCATCTTCACATGCAGCTTAAAAAAGACTTACAGTGGGTGTGTTGTGCCTCACATGCAATCAGTAATCAAGTGTCTGATCCATCCATACCAAGTAAAAAGATCATTACTATCAACCTACATTTTATCGCTTGCTTGTTTACCTTCCCTGTCCTCCATGCTGATGTTTACTCTGATGTCTTCCTCCCTCTCTAAATGGGGCCCTTCTTCTTCTTCATCAGCTTCCTGGTCACACCTGCTGTGTCCTTCCAGGAGAAACCGATCACCTACAGTCTTCTCATCAATCCCAGCAGCCTCTTCTCCATCACTACAGAAACTGGGGAGATCAGCCTGACCCGCCCCATCGACTACGAGAGCGACCAGCACCGCTACCTGCTACTGGTGCGAGCCAGCGAGGGCCTGGACAGCATGAGCAGCGCTGCCGAGGTTTGTGTGTGCCTGTGTGTGTCTGTGTCAAGTCACATTTCCATTGTCTTATTCAATAACTTCCCTCAACTCTTACCATCTGAATTTTACAAACAATGTCTGACAAGTCTTCAAATTAACAAGTCTCCTACCAGAGGGGTGATGTCATTTTATTTGTTTCATGACTTTGATCTGGAGTATTTTAAGTTCCTGTCACTTGCTTCTTCGGGGAGAGTTGTAAGAGCAGCACAGTGATAGTTTGCAGGATGACAGGTGTGGAGTTGTGCTGAAGAGTGGTGATTATGATGTATCATAAAAGACAATGAAATCACCGCACGCAGTCATGAAATCTCAAACCGGTCGGAAAAACAAACTTCAGCCGTGCTGTGCAATGTGCATTTAGGCTGTGATACTGTTAGACTCGATCCTTTTGATTTCAGAGGCTGTGTGAGCGGTCAGAGGTCATGGTTGGCCTCCCGTCTTTTAAAGAACTCATCAATGCTACATAGGCTGTAATTCTGATGCCCTTAACCTGAATTTATTGAGAAAGAGCCGTGACCTTAAGAGACAAGCGTCCACATCCATTCTGTTCAAAGCTTAGAGTTTTGTCTTCAGTCGAAACTCAAACAGTCTTTTCTGTCTGGACTGACTGTTCTGGAATTCCCCCACGACTTCTTTGTGTTGTCAGGAGGTGAGAGAGAACCGCGGCTGACCGCTGCAGGCAGCGATGCATCTGCTCTGGTTTCCATCACTCCTCTGGCCCCTCGGGCTAAAACATGTCCTGCTGAACCATCTGTCCTCCACTGCTCCGCTCAGGGCCCCGGTGGACTACAGAGCACCAGAGCCTCTTTATGAAGAGACAGGGGAATACAGCAAAGAGGGAGACTGAAGGAAAAGCATCTAAATGTAGGAGAGGCGAGAGAAAAAGGGGAATAAAGAAGAGTAATTAGCAGGGATTGTATGTCCTCTTTGCCTCCCCTCTGGAGTCTCCAAAAAGCTTTTTTGATCATCACCTTCCTGTCAATGTCAGAACTCATGGGCTGTTGTGTGACAACAATCAGTGCAAAAAAGTCAGACAGCATAAATGTGGCAGAGAAAGCCGGGAAGAAAACAAGACGAGGTATCAGCACTCATTTCTGGACAGTCGAGACAGTTCATGTCAGCTGAAGGAGTTAAACATTGAGGGGCATGGTAGAAGAAAAACTCCTTGTTTGTCGATTGTTTTTCTGTAGGTGACGTAATCGGTCAACCAGAAGAAGGTCCAGTCGTAACAAGCTGAAATGGGGAATATCGCCACCTACTGTAGCGGAGTGGGACATACTCCTGTGGTTCTTAGTGGTGCATGTAGCGCAGTGACTGTAGCCTCTGAGAGTGAATGATTTTGTTTCTTGCATTCTGGTGCAGTCAGTGGTTAGAGATAAATGACCTCCAGTCTGGACTTTAAGTGCGCTGCATTGTTTTCAGTCCAAGAAACATCTGAGCAGTGACCTCGGATGTGTTCGGATCAAAGGGAGGAGAGAAATTTGCTTCTTCAGATATGTCTACAAAATGTATCTACCAGTCAGATGAAGCTAAAGCTATCGACTACCTTCAGATAAATTGGTGCCAGTTTAGTGGAGAAGAAAAAGTCGATTTTTGGATTTATTCTCGATTCAGTGGGAACATGTTCCAAACACGTAAATTGTGCAAAACATGAACAGCAGCAGATAGACATAGAAGATGTTTTCACACATGCACTCCTGAAATGATCTAGATCAGTGTTTTTCAAAGTGGAGGTCCAGACCCCCTGGCGGGTCGACAGAGCATGTTAGGGGGGGTCGCAGAAACTTTGAGGAAAGAGGGAGTAAAATGGAACAAAAAATAAACATTCTTTGTTTCCTCATAAATCGTAATCGTCTTTTTAGAGGATTGTTGCACCATTGAAAACTAGCTTCCTGCCTCCTCGTTATAAGGAAACAGTCCTTTAAGAGTAGACCACCAGGAAACCTGACCGTGTGCATCAAAAAGTGTCATAATGAGCCAGTACACATAAAGTACGGCTAATGTTCTTGGTCTCGAGGTTGATATTTTTTGGCTGATGTCCAAAGAAATGTAAGAAATGTTGCAAGAGGGGGTCCCAGCCTGAGATTAAATGGGGGTCCATGGCATGGCAAAGATTGGGATCCCCTGATCTAGATCATTTCAGGAGGACTGCTCCAGAGATTCTCCTGTCCTTGCTGTTCACATATACTCCTCATATTCTTAATTTTTGTCTTGATATCAAAAACAGCTTCCAGTTTATAGGGCTGACGAGGTTAACCGGGATTAAACACATCAGGGTTAATTAATCCTAAAGGCTCCGCAACACTGCATTTTTTATTGTCACTTGCAAAAAGGAAGGAGGGACATAAGTTTTTGATACAACCGACATGGAACTCAAACTGAGTGACACCAGCGAAATGTGTAACAGGCTACGCTACATTAGCTTTGCTCTGTAGGAGGACTCTGCAGATCCACAGAAGAAAAGGAGTGGAGTCATCAGTGTCGGAGCGTTTTGTTTACATCAAGAATGAGAACAGAGTTAGTTTTATTTAAATAGACGTTTTTATTTACCTTTATTATTTTGTACTGGATTTATTTGATACTTTATCAAACCTCTGAATCCTCAGGTGATAAAACAAACGGTGCTGCAGGTCACTGTCGGAGCATCTGAGATTTAAGCCCACTGTAAGTCACTCCACAGCAGAAATCATACAACAGTCAGCATTTTCAATGAGTGCATTTACAGGGAATAAAAAACAACAACAACAACAGCAACAACAACAAATGCTAAAATGGCAAAAAGCTGATGTGCATAGACTGCAGAAACACATTGAGAGAGAAGTGAGGCGTATGTTCCCTCAGAGCGCTCCGGGCTAAATAGGATGAAATAAAGGAAAAGTAAACGTTGGCTTAACTAACCCAGCTCAGAGTTCTTTTTTTGTATAGATTTTTTAAGTAAATTTTGATAAATCCTGATCTCTCTACTTTATGTGTTCATGCTTTAAATTGCATTGTTATCATTACAATACCTCCAATTATGATACACAAATATGAAGATTTTTAATCAATCTGACAAAAACTTTTCATTTAAAGAGACATTTTTTTTTTGCCAGCAGACATCAGCAGCTGAAGAAGAGAGGCGTGCAGACTAGTCCATTTACATGCACTTCACATGCATTTAAATACAATTATACTTATCCTGCAAATGATTACAGATGGAACTCTACATCATAACCAGAGGTTGAGACTTTTGTTTGGCTCATGTTCCTGTTCTGTTCAATCACTGCTCATGTTAGTCTTTGTGCCTGGAAAATTATGATGGTTATGATTCTTTTTTTAACTTTCCTTTTGGTGGACGGATGAATTGTCTTCTGACAGGTACACAACGAAACAAAAGATCTGCAAGGGTGGTGCTTATTTATACAGCCAGATTCAAACTGAGCAGTCGGCGGTCGTAGTTGTCCCGACTTACAGCACACACATGAAAAGGGCTACCGGCGACCCCACAGAATCGCAGATCCAAAGACGACATGCAAGCACACGAGTCTTCCTGCTGTCCTTTGGCAACCAAAACAGACGAACAAAAGAAAGGCTCCCACTGTGCTGCTGTAAGAAAAGTTTTCTTAGTTGGGTTTTCTTTCTCAGATTTAATTCTGCAGAAGTACAACGCAGTCTTGTCTCCTCATCGGTTAGTGCAAAGCAAAAACTGGTTGGTGGCAACTGAGACCAATAACGTCTCCGTGGCCTTCAGCAGTATGAAACCTCTCCTTCGCGCCAGGTGGGTCGTTCTGTCAGTGTGTGACGTCACATGGAAGCAATGAAAAAGTCAGGGAAAATCATGTAAGTTTGTTTTCTTTAAGAGGAAGTAGCCAGCTGCTTTTCAATATTATATAGCTATTGTATTGAAATGAAGAATGTTTCACTCGCCTCAGTGTGCCAGACTCAAAACACCACGTCCGAGATCAGCTTGTGAGAACACAGCCTGAAAGAACATAGCAGACCACCGAGGAGATCGATGTCACACTGGAGTCAGCTGCGGCAGTAATTGTCCAACAATGAAAAGCTGAAGTGGAGTTGTTACGCTGCAGCTGATTTCCCCATCCGTTACCTCTGCACTTTTTATGTTCTCTGACTGGTCAACACATGGAAGCCTGATTTGTGTTTAACCTCCCACCTGAAGCGTTGGCCATGTCTCTTCGACAGGGAATGACCTGGGATGACCTGGGAGTGGCCTTGGAAGGAACCGATCCCAGTGCATTATGGGTGTTGATGTATTTGAAAGCTTTGGGCAGAAGGGCATGACACTTTAAGTCTGGTTTTTCCGGCAAATTTCCTCTCTTAAGAAGCCTGGGTGTAAATGCCAATGCTTCCTAATCTGTGGCTGTCCCTTTTGTACGGGGGAGGTTGATTTTATTTTGCTTTTCAGAAATGAGTCTCAGTTTTCTCAAAATGGCGAGCAGCGATGGTGTGTTTGTGTGAAGCCAGAGTCACTGAGCATGTCTTTAATTTGCAGGTAGTTTCCAAGTTTCTCCCTCCAGGAGTGATAGCTCATCGGCACCATTAGTTACCTAACCAGCCTGAGACCTGCCTGCAGCTGCCTCCGGAGTGTGTGTGTGTGTGTGTGTGTGTGTGTGTGTGTGTGTGTGTGTGTGTGTGTGTGTGTGTGTGCTCGTCTGTGTGTGTGTGTGTGTGTGTGTGTGTGTGTGTGTGTGTGTGTGTGTGTGAGCTCATCTTGCTTTATTACGGCTGACTTCCCCTCTCTTCTCATTCAATCTTGCTTTTCCTCAGACTCAGTATGTATAAACACACACACACACACACACACACACACACACACACACACACACACACACACACACACACACACACACACACACACACACACACACACACACTGTACGTTCATATATCTTTCCCAGCCCTCGCCATTTCCTGTCATAATGGTACCTAGGCTGTCCCACACGGGCATGCATGCAAACACACACAAACACACACAAGCAAATAGAGACTAACGGTCACTGGCAGACACACACAAATCACCTCGGTGGGTTTTTCATGGTCAGATATTATTTTGTCGTTCATTGCTTTTGGAAGCTGATCTTTGCTCAAGGATTAATATATAAATATAATATATATATATATATATATATATATAAATAATATTACAGAACTTCATCCTACCTACTGGGACCTAATACCAGTGCTATTTACACACCCCACAGAGTGTGTGTGTCGCGCTGTGGTCTTGTGTGTTCATGTGGAGGAGCAGAGGAGGAGCTGGGAGGGTCAGAGAGGCCTCGCCTGCCAGCGGTGCGTTGGTATTTATTACTCCTGAACGCTGCGAGCAGGCAGTCAACATCTGCTAGAAGATGCTGTGTTTGCCTTCATGTCCCTAATGAACTCGGCAGCATTACACACACACACACACACACACACACACACACACACACACACACACACACACACACACACACACACACACACACACACCTACATGCTCACACCATACAAATTCATCTCCGCACACTGATCCACTCTTCATTTGTTGGCTCAGGGCTTCTGGAAAAACTGCACCACATTGCATTCTGTGCTGATCTACTGAAGTGAACGCAGTGCCGACTCTGCAGCAGCTCCCCTCACTGAGGAGCAGTAAATAAACCACAGGGATCAGGATCAGGGCAGGCTTTTGGAACATGTTGGGTAGAGAGAGGCTTGCTTTTTTGGTTAAAGGGACAGGGTTAATTTGGGTTACTCACAGATGAAAACCTCCACAGTCCCAAAGAAAAACCAATTCCCTGAACGGTGCCTGAAGTAGTAATCCCAGATTTTTAAATTTCATAACTCTAACCCAGTGTGACTTTTAAGCTCCGTTTTTTTTCCACTTGTGATTGCCTGGACGGTTTCAGCACACGTGGAAACAAAAAACAGTGTTTCTGAGACCTGAATGAGATCAGAAAAGTAGGAACTCTGTGGGGTTTACTTTTGCACATGAATAGTCTCTCTTAAGAACGCCTGGTATATCGAAACTTTGCCGACAGTCGACGTTGGATTAGTTGACTTCCAGTTGTGTGTTTCTAACTCCTCAGTCAAAATGAAGTGTGTGATGAAGGTCAGAGTGTGTCTCTCGCTAACTGATTCATTCCCTCCTCATTTCTCTCTCAGGTTCGGGTGATTATCATCGATGAAAACGACTGCGTGCCGGAGTTCCTCCAGTCCATCTACAGCAAAGATGGTGTGCCCGAGACCGTGACGACCGCGACCTCCCTGCTGCAAGGTGAGACGTCAGGGGCAAATGTTCACAGAATCATTTTGTTTTTCTGTTCATATTTCAGCACCTGTCACGGACAAACTCCAGTTAGTTTATCACGGAAAACATCACAGTAGAGGCTTTATTTATGTCTTTCATAGAAGAACACTGAATTGTTCTTTTGTTCAAATGATGAGAGATGCAATTTTCATTTTATTTTTCAAGATTTATTTTTGGGGCTTTTTCTGCCTTTAATGGAGAGATAGGACAGTGGATAGAGTTGGAAATCAGAGAGAGAGAGTGGGGAATGACATGCAGAAAAGGAGCCACAGGTGGGATTTGAACCTGGGCCGTCCTCTTGAAGGACCACAACCTCCATACATGGGGCACACGCACTAACCACTGCACCAGCAATTTTTCAACTTGCTTTTTTTCTTAACAATTATCAGAAAGGTACATGACTGAAGAGCCAAGGAGTTCAAGTATCTCTGGGTCTTGTTCACGAGCGAGGCTAAAATGAAGCGTGAGATCGACAGGCAGATGGTGCAGTGTCATCAGTATGAAGAGGGAGCTGAGCCTGAAGGCAAAGCTCTCGATTTAGCGGTCGATCTACGTTCCAACCCTCACATGTGGTCATGAACTGTGGGGTAGAGACCGAAAGAATGAGATCGGGGATACTAGCGGCCGAAAAGAGTTTCCTCCAAAGGCAATCTGAGCTCTGACTTAGAGATAGGATAAGGAGCTCGGACATCCGGAGGGAGCTCGAAGTAGAGCCGCTACTCCTTCTCATCGAACGGAGCCAGCTGAGGTGGTTTGGGCATCTGATCGGGATGCTTCCTGGACTTTCGGGAATGTCCAACATGGGAGGAGACCCAGGGGTAGAGCCAGAGCCTGCTGGATGGATTTGATTAATTTTGCCCAGGGAACGCCTTGGGATCCCCCAGGAGGAGCTGGAAAACATTGCCGGGCAGAGGGAAGCCTGAGTTGACTTACTGCGCTTGCTGCCGAGTAGCAGAAGAAAGTGGATTGATTGATGCATAAACGACTAAAGAAAGCTTTGTCTTATTTAAATATTAAATTCCTCAGATTTTAAATTCCCACATAATTATGAAAAATGAAGGTTGCTCAACCTCAGCTTGTCCTGACAAATGCCTAATAAACACTTTCCTTCAATACCTCATGGAGGTATTGAAGGAAAGTGCTGCAGTGGCGTGCTTTCCTGAGTTGAATAAATATGGCCAGGTAAATCTCTGCAGAGGACAAGTGGAGTGATATCTTACCTTTCTTCAGGGTTATACAATTCAAGATTTCATCAAACAAACTTCATATTTCATGCTGGAAGTAAAAGCTAAAGTAGGAGCAGCTCAGTGGGCTAATGTGTGCCTGTGTGGGGTCCCTTTTATGTAAATATGTGAGAAGCTCGGCTGTAGTGGCTCTCACATCTGAATAAAAGTGGCTGGGCTTTTTTTAACATTCATGTGTTTTGACTGGTCAGGAAACGGAGTAGGTACTTGTCTGCACTGGCAGCCGTGAAATCACCGGCACTTCCATCAGTGAGGCTGCTCCAGCCTCTCCTTCACTGTAACGACCCAATTTCTACCCCCGGGGGGATTGCTTAAGTTTCCTCTTATTTTTTGGAAATGGTGATGGCGACTCTGGTGGGTTTAAACTTATAACAATGTGATCTTTCACAGTGTGACTTAACACTGTGAAGCCTCGTCTTTTATAAGGCTCTGACAGACTGCCAACAAAAGTTACTGCAAAGAACATCACACTCTTTTTTTCTCCTCTGCACCCTCTCAGAGTGCCATTCTATTAAATATACATCTAATATCCCCCAAATAGTACAATTATTCATCCAGATCCCATGACTCATAGACATGACTTCCTTCTAAAAGCAGCTTCATATCATTGTATCAGGACATAGTGAAGGTTAAAATGAAATAAACAGGTTTACTTACAGTTATAGAAACAACAACAACAGAGCTGAAAAACGAGATGCAGGGAAATTAAAGACTGCATGCACTGAATTATTAATGACTGCAGTTATGACACCTCTTTGGAAGTGTTCATTAGCTTCAGCTTCAGGCAAACAAAACTTTAGTGTTGGGTTCACATTACACGACTGGGTGTGTTTTTTTCTTCTTGCATGTGTGTTGTGACGGTCGCAATTACCGTCTCCTGTGTAATTATCACCATTAGTCAAATGCAGGTTATTTGATAAAGGGCAAAATGCAAAATGCACATAATTTACAGACCGCAGAGTGTCACAGAAGATTATACATCTGAGATGACCTTTAAAATAACTTTGCATCCTGGAAACATTCATCAAAGCTTTACATTCACCATTCTGCAAAGTAAAGACAATTTATGCAGAGACATAGAAGAGTTTAAAGTACTTAGTACCAAAGTACCATTCTCTCACATCTAAAGACATTTAAGTTTCAGACTATGATATTTTTCTTGGGCTTGGTATCTTGAAGGGTCTATAGAGCTCAACAGTGGACGCCCACCTGTTCAGCAGCTCTGGTTCCAGAAGTAAATCTCCCATTTCAAATCCTCCATTGACATTTTACAAAATCCTGATTCCAAGAGATTGATGCCTGTAACCATGACAACCAACTACCCCAATACTCGTGACTATAAAACATTTGATTTGGCGCCCAACACAGCGTGACAAAACAGATAAAAAGACAAAGTTACAAGACTGTGTACATAATTATCTTCTGGAGTCAAGGAACTACACATCCCATAATCCTTTGCGAATTACATCGTTTCTTCTTTGAGTAATTTTTTCGTGTTTATACTGTTAATACAAGTGTTGTAGTTTGTGTTGTTGAATATATAAACTACATTCACTGCAGCATAACAAGGTTATGAGTAAATTTACTGTTAGCTAACTAACTAGCCAGCCTGCTAGCGGAACTATCTGTTAGCATGAGGTGCAGAGCGGCGGGAAACATTGCCATGGTAACAGTGAGCTCCACCAATCAAAGACGTTGCTATGACACTCTATGATCTTGGGTAGTGTAGTTCTTTACCCACGATATCGTGAATAAACCGTGTTTGTCTTAAAACGAGGGTGATATCAGACAAACTTGTGTCTCCTACAGGAACATAAACCATCGTTTTACGCTCGGTTAGCTCGTGGTCAGTCTACCTGTGATGGTTATGACATCATGGCTAATAATCAAACTGCTGTAGAGAAAACTAACAGGATTTAACTAACTGTTGAGCCCTGTTAGAAACCGGTTTAGATTATTTCCCATCATGCTCCTGGTGTAGATCAGCAACATTAAGTTGAAGCTGTTTTATGCACAGCTGTTTTTTGGGGGTTACTGTGTGTAGTGCCGTCTATAAGCAGCTTTTTCCACTTCAAACTTTCAGTGAAGCTATCCGTGGCTAACCTAACACCGTGTCTTATGTCTCACACTAGTTGGACATAGGACACGGTCACATGTTGGCCCGTGTTGTTTACTGTCTGGCACCTTCTTGGAGTCAGTCTGCAGAGTCTGCTGCCTCCAGTTGTGTGCTGCACAAAATGCACTTACTGGTGGTTGACAAAGTTCATGTTTGGCAAACATTATTAGTGATAAACGAACATAATGTTATGCAAATAAATACAAAAAAAGGTCTTGGACGTAGTTGATAAGCTTCTCCAATTGTTTATTTCTTATTTTAAAATGTATGATTAACTTCTTTGGAGCCTTGCAGAATAGACACCATGGCAACCACATCTGCTATGAGCTCAACCTGAGATTTGAGGTGTAACTTTTGGAGCTATCTCAACACCTTTTAATGATGATTCCTAAATTACAAATTCAGTTCAAACCAGGCTACGCTTGTGCTTGAACCGACAGTGCAGATCAACACATTAACAAACAGCATTGCCAATATTCACACAGGAGAGTGAGAGCACCTGAGTGTTCTGTGGTAAACCATTTAACGGCTCTCGACATCATTTTAGTACACGCCAGATACATGCTGGAATCAAATGCATAAAAATAAAGAAAGCCCAGTGCAGACTGAAACATTTAGCAGAGAGCACTCACCAAGCCCCGTCAAGCACACAGTGAAAATCTGTGGAGCACAGCGTGATGAATACTCTGATACATGATCAGAGAGGTCAAATAAATCCCTTCAATACAAACAAACAAACAAACAAACAATGAAATCCAGGAGAGCGCAAAAGCTGCCCAATCTAACACTTCTTCTCCATCAACGGGAGAGCTTCAATTATCTGACATAATATGTTATTACATAACTTTGATAGCATGTTTTGAATGTTTGTGTAATATGAGAAGGACAGTATAAGGTTTAGTGATTAGATCATTAAGTTGCTCCGGAACAAACAGTAAAATATGATTAAAGAAAGAATGCCCTCATCATGTGATATTTTTCACAATATGTCCCCTTTAAGTGCAAGCTGTGGACGAAATTGTCTTTTGCTCGAGCTGCAATCACCTGTGTCCTGCATTGTTGTGTTAGCATGCTAATGTTAGCGCTCTCTGTGCAATAATAATGTTATATTGATGTTATATTATGTTTACCAATCCACTTTATGCAATAACATGTTACACTTTATGTGCATGTCTGTGTTACACTGAATATTACAGACTACACTTTTGTCAAATAGCTGATCTATTTTTTTGTTTGTTATTATATTGTTTCTTAATTTTTCTTTTTTTATTTAAATTGTACTGTGTTCACTTTTTGTCTGCAATCTTTGCTCTTTGCTGCTGTAACAATGTAAATTTCCCCATTGTGGGATAAATAAAGGATTATTTTATCTTATCTTATCTTTAGTTAGCTCGTAGCTTCACGTTGCATGTAAATTTAAAATAATCAGTGAGTATGTTCTTCTTCTTCTCTCTAGTTCTTGACTAAAACAGCTTTTATACAAAAGGGGAGGAGCCAGCCATCCCGTCCATGTAAACACGGCTCTGACAACAACACAGGGATATTGGATATATTTGATTTCTGCTTCATGTATGTGTAAAATATTGCACCTTCCATCCTTTAAATATCAACCTATTTTTGACGTGCCTGCATCCAAGGTCCCGCGGCTTTGATTGGCTCATGAAACACAAACTGAAGCGCTCTCTGACAGAGAGGGCTTTCTAATTAACAAACTGTAGATACAATATGACAGAAGGGAAAATGAGTCAACGTGAACAGATCCTGTTATGTAATATGCCGTCAGAGTTCGAGGCATACAGACACAGACAGATACCAGGAACAGATAATAATAGTAATAATAAGAGAATTCATGAATGCAAAGTAGTGGCCATCATTTTCTGCAAGGAGTAAACATGGTTATCAATAGCAGCACTTTCCCAAAGTATTGGATCAAAAACAGAGACCTAAAAGCGATTCTTACAGCCATGCCATTACTGGGGCTCACTGTCAGTCTGTAATAGGGTTGTCACGTTGCCAGAATTATAAACTGAGATATGATAAAAGTCAAATTCAAAACTCCAACACACGCAGTGTTTAAGGAGCTAAGGTGGAGGGAGAGAGAGAGGGGTAGAGGGACAGGTTGTAACTTATATGTCATTAACCATTTCTATCGATGATCAAAGTTATAGTTTGTGTCACCAGCCTCGTGATAGTAACGTCTAATTAAAACAAAAGCTCGCTGTCTGCAGCCGCCCGACTCTCACAACCCTTCACCGCGAGCGCTGCAGGTGGAACCAGGACAAAGTAAACAATCAGATCTGCATAAGTGGCCACAGCCTTAACGAGCACTGCGGGAAGAGATGCTGCTGATAGCGGGCATGCACTCATTTCAAATCTGTGATGGAGCGTCTTGATGGTGTAACTGTGGCGGCCGCGGTGTCGCCTGCAGCCGGAACATTTTCACGTACAGGGGAGACACAGACTCTGCATGCACGGCAGGTCGGTTCTCTCACTACTGATGGTGATATAACAAGAACCCTGTTTTGGTTGCAACAAACAAAAGTGGCAGCATGACATTCATCAGGTCACTTGACGGACATGGCTCGTCTTGTGATGTAACTATTGGTCATGCACACATTGTAATAGCTATGGTAAGATGATATATCATTCCATGTGAGCTGCAGTATCAAACATTTTAACAACTTTAGTCCACAGGATTTTTAATGGAAACCTTTTTTTTCACATCAATGCTGTATGAAGTGTAATTTTTAAATCGCCAACACTTTGAAAGGGAGTGCTCTGAGGGGAGGGATTTATTGAGAGAGTACATGTGTGCTTGGGGATGTTAGGTGCACGGTGTAGTAGGCACAGCATGCATTCAGCATGTACGCAAACAACAGGTGCACCAAGGGAGGTGAGAAGTTTCACCCTGCTGAGCTCCTGTGTGGGTATGTGTGTGTGTGTATGTGTGTGTGTCCCATGTTCTTATTTGCACGTCTCCATTCAGTGGTTTTTAGAATATATATTCACAGGAAAACAGATGCTTTATAAAAAACCTATTATTTTGTGTTTTATGAATAGAATATCTTTTTTCTATGATATCTAAAACGGTGCAATGCGTCCTTTTCCCGTTTTCAATTTTCAGATTTGATCACAGGCAATTAGCTTTCAAAGTTGATGAGGTGGAAAATTGCTCACGCAAGTTGCACCTTGCCAAAAAACACCTCTGTTTTTCTCATTAAATTTCAGAAGCTGCACCTGAAACTTGCACAGCCCAATCTCCTGAAAAATATTCCTGCCCCCCCTCCTCCCCCTCCCCATACTTGATTAACCGGGTTAAACAGCACAGTATTAAATTAAATGAGCAGAGAAAAATAGGCATCCAGCATCACTCTGCTAAATCATGTGCTAGTAATCCCATAATCAGTCCCATCGTGAGAAAGGACAAATGTGTGTTTCGCCAAGTTGTGGGCAAAAAAATTCTTCCAACAAGCCAATTATCTTGCTTTCTGTGGAGATCTGAGGCTCCTGCAGTTTCCAGCTTCAGCACAGAATCATTATAAGCCAGAAATACAGGGTAGACAAAGCCAGAAATGTTCTGTAGCCCCCCCTGACACAATGATGCCATCACAACAATGCTGATTCAAGACAACACTCTGAAGAGGACAAATCTCTGCTAAGTAAATTAAATATTGACTCATAGGTGACATGTGTTTGGCGACCACTAGCATCGAACTTTTGGGCGAACACTAGCCTGCATTTCTTTTTTTTTTTTCCTGCAGTCGTTGGATGAGAGGTTATTCATCACTTTAAAGCAACGAAACAGCCACGTTTCAGCAGCAGTTCAGAAAAGTGTCACTCCTTGTTAGCAGGTCTGTAGAGCAGCGTAAACAAACATAAATTCATTTTACCCAACTCTCAAAGCTGGCATGAATCTAAATAACAGAAAATTACAGACTCCATATTGAATAACATAAAATGCGTTGCCAAAAAACAATTCCATTTCCACACCTAATTTGATTCAGCTTTTGTATTTACATTTCTCCCCACTGAAGAGGCAATATGACTGAGTTCATGATGAGAAGCTATTTTCAGCATCTGTAAACAAACACTTAAAGCTGTTTATTGATTAAACATGCATCCCTGTTACTGTGCTTATGGTAGATCACAGCATGCTTTTTGTAAATATCAGATAGAAACTGAAAAACCATCGACTGAATTACAGCTTTTTAAGAATAAATACAACACATCTCAACATTTTATACCCTCCATTGATAATTTTCCGTATTATTTTTTGCACCATCCATCCATTAGCTATACCTTTTTTCCTGTCATTGGACAAGAGGCGGGTTTACACTCTGGACTGTTCGCCAGACATGACACTGACATAGAGACAGACAACCAGTCCCACTCACAATCACACCTACGGACAATTTAGACTCATCAGTTAACCTAACGAGCATGTCTTTGGACTGTGGGAGGAAGCCGGAGTACCCGGAGAGAACCCACACATGCACGGAGAGAACATGCAGACTCCACACAGAGAGGCTCCTGTCAGATGGGGATTCAAAATCGCACCATCGTGCAGCCTCTATTTTTGCACCAGATTTTATAAATGAACTTGCAGTCAAGGGGTCATGAAATGAATAAACAATAAAAGAAGAATGGCATAAGAAATCTGGGCAACACTTTAAATTAAGGTCACAATATTCACCTTAAAGTAGCTGCTTATTAGCATGCTAATTAGTAGCATAATAGCTGCTTATTAGCATGCTGAATGCTAGCGTATGAGCTGCTTATTAGTCATTATTGAGACCTTATTAGCACCGTATTCGACATGACCATAGTTTATATCTAATAGGTCATTAATTAAGAGTTGTCCATTAAAACCGTCTTAATTACTGCTTATTGATGGTAAATTAGGAAGTTGCTGGACATGAATAATGATCTTAATATGCTTTGCTTAGTTTGGCCCCTTAGAAGCAAAGCATATTAGATCAGATTTCCTCTCGGTTTTTATGCCATACAGTTTTTTTATTGTGGAAAAATCCTGGCGTATTTCGTCTGTGTGTTATTTATTTACATGTATTTATTCATGTGCATGGCTCTTTGTGAGTGTTTTGTGCGTATAGGTACAAATGCAATGTGAGGTGAAAGAACCCCGAGTTTAACTGTGAAATGACTCGTTAGCAGAAAAATATGCTTATTTGAATCCCTGGTGGTCTTTTCAGTTTTAGCAAGGCAATCGATTTCAGGGCGAGCGGGTCCCGGCTGCATGGATTTCCAATGTGTGAATTCAAAACACAAATGTTGCAGAATGAAAATCCTTTCAGAGCATACCGTGCACGGAGCGTTTCCCCCTCTATTGTGTTAACGAATTAGAGGTTTAAGTCCGTGGGAGTATCACTTCCTTTTCAGTCTTCACTTTGGTCTCATAGCGTGAAAAGTGGATAGATTTCCTGAACCCATGTTGAGATCCTGTTTCATTCAGCTGCTTTTTCTTTGTCTCCATGACACAAATCTGAATGATAAAAATGAAACGACAGATTGGAGATGAATAAAGGTGTCAGTAGAACAAAGTGACTTCATATCATTTATCATCCGTCATCTATTGGTGCTATGTAATGTATGCACCTAGGTCTCACTCTTGTAAATACATGATTCTGAAGTTTGGGTTAATTTGAATTTGAAGCTTTTCTTTAAATGTTTAAGTGAGAAACATGTCACTGAGATCCACTTAAGTAAAATAATTTAAATGTTTCTGAAGAAACAGGGTTGATGTCTTAAAGGAGATCTATTCTGTTGATCCATATTTAAACTCATTTTAAAAGTAATGTTAAAGGCTTTATATGCGATTTTTTGATCCAGCAGATGTCGCCCTTGAGCACCAGCATGAAACCAAAACAACTTGCGCTGCATTGTTGTGTTAGCATGCTAATGCTAGCGATCTTTATTATGCTGGTATCTTCACACTGCATGTAAATTTACCTGAAATGAGCGTGATCTAGAAACACAGTTAAGCAGTGAGTACAGTATGTTATTCTTCTTTTCTCTAGTCCCTCAATTAAACAACTTTTATACATGAGGGGAGGAGTCAGCCGGCCGTCCCGGCGATGTAAACAAAGTGAAGATAGGACTCTGAAAACTCTGAAAACATCACAGACAGTGGGACTCGGGTGTTACACCCATTGTAGACAGTCATGACTCACAGAGTTATTTTCAGAGGATAGACTTGATTTATATTATATTTAAGTGTGAAAAATCACATAGAAAGCCTTTAAGAGGTGTCCCAGACTGACATTAGTTCTGGTGAAAGTGAGGATAATAGATCTCGTAATATAACATTTTGAATTGGATTCTGTACTGAACTGGGAGCCAATGAAGATTTTTTTGAAGTCGATAGTTTTTGTTTCTCGTAGTCCTGACACTTTATTTCAGTTTGGATGAATGGACATAGTAACAAAACACTCCTAAACTGATGGGCCATTGTGTCAATTAATTGTGTTTGTGGGTGTGTCTGTTTATGCATTATTAAATCAACTTTGGTAAAAGCCAATGGAAAGGGAAACTGACGGCCTGCTCTGTCTGTGTTTGAATCTTCAGTATCGGCCAGTGACTGTGACTCCGAGGAGAACGCTGAGTTAACCTACTACACCCTGAGTCAAGACTTCACCATTTCTCCTCATGGGACCATTTTCCCCGTTGGGCCTCTGGACTACGAGAGGCCGAACCACCTGTACGAGTTTGTGGTGATGGCGGTTGATAAGGGGGAGGTCCCTCGCACCGGCACGACTACAGTACGGATACGAATGGCTAACGTCAACGACGAGGCGCCCGAGTTCTCCCAACACATGTAAGTCATGTTTTTGGAAAAATAAGTTCTTTGTCTGAAATTGATGGTGTTGTATTTTCCCATTGTTTTACATTGGATGACCACTAAGGGGGCGATTCTGATTTATATATAAAATTCACACTAATATACTGGCTCATACATCTGGATTAACAGATGTTGTCACATTCATAGTTTTCACACTTGGCAGGCAAGAAAAGGTTTACTTACTGCTGCAGGCTACGGAGAAGTTTCCCGTCTCAGCTAGCACCCTCATGCTAACTGAAAGACACAAATGTTGTTGAATGTGACGCACTTACCGACAAAGAGACGTGTCCGCGTTGTTTTTCTACAGAATTTAGAAATTAGAAAACCTGGATTTTGGTTGAAGCTGTCCTGACAGAAATGAATAACTCATTCTCTAAAAAAGAAACAAAGAAAATCCATCATCTGTATCAGTTTGTAAGTCTGTAAAAACTTCCACCAATGTCTGCCACGAGGTACCAATCTGATGAACCAATCAGACGCCTCCCTGTCTCCCTGCTCGCTCTCTACCTCTTGCGTGCTCTAGCTCACACTCAGAGCATGAGCTGAGGTCCGCTTCTGGAGCAACGGCGCTTGTGCATGTAAGTGAGGGGGCGTGGCCTTTGAGGGAGCACAGAGGGGAGGGGGTGCAGACGCAGCACTGAGGGAATACTACTTTCAAAATCATGCTAGTTTTCAAAAATGACCAACCCTCCCTTCAACTAGCTAACGTTAGCAAATTGTCACTCACATACGCTTTGATGTTGAAGATTTTTGCCGTTCACTTTCCAAATGGCAGCATCGTCGACCCAACAACATCAAGCAGACATAAAGCTGTCAGTTCTTTTGTAGACTTTCATCCAGGCGTCAGTTTAAGGGGAAGAATTTCCTTGCTGTTTTTAGCGATTATTGTCTCCGTTGTGCCATATCTCCGTTTTTTTTTTGCAGTTGTCAGGTGACGTCAACATGTGATGTTTTGATAAGATGGAAAATTGAGACCGTGCTGCAGCTCCAGAGTTCAGTGGTAGCCACGTCTTTCCTAAGCTCTTTCTGCCCTCCAGGCCTCTGTGCCAGTCACAGACTGAAAACTATAAATAAGACATCTTGCAGATCTATACAATTTACAAAATGCAATCTCATACTCTGTTATTTTCCGTCGTTAAAGTGCGACGCCACACTCGACAAACTGCAGGTTTTCTGGAGAATAGACAAAGATTGATTGAAACCACCTCAGTGTTTGATGAGGGCCTTTAACAACTCGAGTGAGGGTGTGAGAAATATTGCATTTGGATATCTAAGAGAGGCATTTAACATACAGTTCACCAGAGTTATTTTAGAGAGAGAGACTGTGTGTGTGTGTGTGTGTGTGTGTGTCTGTCTGTCCTGCCTTACAGCTCCTTACAGCTGCTTCCCAATTCAACGTTGCAGCTGCCATTACCCACAATTCCAGTGCTCCCCCCGCCCCCCCCCCAGTGCTGCTGTGGTTGCCTGCATCTTTTAATTGGTTGATTTTCTGGCAGAGAGCTGGGCAGATTGGTGAGGCCGGGTCAATCAGCCGTGCCCACCAGCACCCTCAGGAGGCCCTGAGCCCCACTCGGCGTGTGTTCATGCCTGTGTATTTGTGTGTGTGTGTGTGTGTGTGTGTGTGTGTGTGTGTGTGCATTCAGTAATTGAGAATGTCCCAGCAAAGTAGGGTGTGTTGGAATGGACGGAGTGATGTAGTTATAGAGTGCATTCATGCATCATGTATCTGATATGCATGTGGTTATGCTGTTTGTAGCAGAAGGGGTTTAGTGTGTCTGTGTACATATATGTGTGTGTATGTGTGTGTGTGTGTGTGTCTGTCTGAATGGTTGTATTGATTTACTGTCAGTGACAGCAGAATAATCAGTCAGTTAGTTTTTCTTCTGTAGCCCTCAATCCTCGACTACAGCTGCCACAAAACTGTACTGGACAATCTATGATGTATGACTCTGACACACACACACACACACACACACACACACTTATTTATATGAAAATTCACACAAATTCAGGATTGAGAAAACACATATTTTCTCCGAGAAGAAAGTGATACAGCAGGGACAGTCTGGCAAGATGAATTTAATAAAGATAAAATTCATTACTTTCCCTGTAGACATGCTATGTTCGCCTGTGTGTGTGTGTTTGTGTGTGTGTGTTGAGACTGTGCATGTGTGTGCTGTTTCATGTGATGAACGTGAGGAACAGAGAGGGAGAAAGTGGGGAAGAGAGAGGTCATTAAAGATATCATTATCCAGGCGGAAAGTCTGCCCTATTTGTATCGATTCCAGGACTTGGAAGCATGCAGTAATGACCGTGTGTGTGTGTGTGTGTGTGTGTGTGTGTGTGTGTGTGTGTGTGTGTGTGTGTGTGTGTGTGTGTGTGTGTGTGTGTGTGTGTGTGTGTGTGTGTGTGTGTGTTTTCCAATTTCAGAATCAAGAATGAAGGCTACAGAGAATTACACAGAGCCTTGTCAGAGTCATATGATGTTTCTATGCTTGATTTATAAGTGAGAGAAATTCAGGAATAGAAGAAGAAAACAAAAAAGCAGAGGGAGAAGAGAACACGTTGTATTTGTTCATCTTTCATGAGTTCTATAGCCATACTCTCAGATCCACCTCTTCACCGCACGGCTCTCACTCCCCGGTGAGTGACAGAATAGTTGCCTTTCATCTATTTCCTGTCACTTTGCCATCAGGACCCTATTACTGTACCTACCATCACCTGCCTGTTGCCAGGGAAACCACCCTGGGAGGCTTCCTGCAGTGATCTTGCTTGAGTGTCTATCCACCTCACACCTTCAGAACACAGTCTTCACCTGCCTCAGGAGATCACATGAGCCTGAAATGAAATGGTCTTTGGTTTGCACTCGAACATTACAAAGAGGAAATTTAGACAAACTCAGGGCTGTGCTAAGATGCAACATGAGCTGATACGTTGAGAGGGTGGAGGGGGTGAGAGGGCTCCTCTGTGATCAGGGTCGAGATAAGATAAGATAACACTTTATTGTCCGTTTGCACAGACTTTTGTCTTGCATTACAAGCTCAGAGATCCTCTCATCACAATCAAATCACACTCAAAAGACAAACATAAAAACAGCATAAGCTGCATTCAAAATCACATTTCAGTACATAAATAATGTTAGGAGATTGTCCATTAAAAGGAATGTGAGTGTGCTCACAGTCCATGTGCAGCTCAGGTCAGGTACATTAGTGATTGGGAATGTGTGGGTTGCAGTTTGGCCTGCTGCTCTTCTGTTTGTTCAGCAGCGATATGGAGTGTTTGTACTTGTTCATTTTACAGTTTGTCACCCTAAATCGCCTCCCAGAGGGCAGGAGCTGATACTCCTCATGTAGGACATGCAAAGGGCCGGAGGCTATCTTCCAAGCCAGTCCGAGGGTGTGCTTAGTGCAGCTCAGAGTGTTCATTACAGTGACCCACCATCTTTGAGCAGAGGCCCAGGAGTCTTAGTATCCTGGACTTTAGATGGATTGAGAGGCTACAGAACCAGACTGGGCTTCCGTATTGCCGGACACTTTGGATGGTGGAGCAGTAGTAACCCACCTGTTCCACCTCCTGTCTGTAAGCAGACTCGTCCCCGTCCTGGATGAGACCGATGACGGTGGTGTCGTCTGCAAATTTCAGAAGTATGTGTAAATGACTTAACTATATAACAAGCTGCTCTCTGCATTAGAGTTGAAAAACCAATGACGGAAAATAAGATAATGTACCATAAAATGAATACTATATGCCTTAATTATAATGATATAATAATAATAATAATAATAATAATGTCATTATTTTGTGATTATGTCATTTTTTTAAACCACCAGCCAACATGGCAGGTAGGGAAAAAAAGTTAATTTCCACCGCTGCTATTCTTTCAAATGATGGTGTTTGTATCCATTTTAAACACTTGGTTTTGAAAAAGTATTGAAGGTGTTGACAACCTTAGTTATCACCCTGATATACATGTGTCTGAGCATTGATAGGCTGAGGCTCTGAGCAATTGGAGGCCGAGCAGATAAGGACACCACACATATTTAAGTTTTAAAACCTGAGCTTTATTTAATGTAAATACCTACAGCTGTCAATGTTGTTGCTTTGCCTCTGGTCACTTCCTGTCAGCACCTGTGCGTCTAAAAGCTGCTCCTTTGCACTTCCTGACATTGTCCTAGATCCTTGTTTGTGTTGTTCTTACTCCCTGATGTCCGTCGTTTTGGATTAAAGCGTCTGCTACATGGATTGTAGAATTCATGTTTTCCTAGCAAACAAAACGTCTTCATGTTATCCTTTTAACTCTTGTCTGCCACAACATTTTCTACTTTCAAATTGACCGTTTTTGAGGTCTGTATTTTCACTATAATAGGTGCTGAATAATAAAAAACCTTGACAGACGTTTTTGCCCCAGAGTGTCGTAAATTATAGCATCTAAAAATACGAAGGGTGAAGGGAGTTAGTCTGGGAAATAACGAGAGTTGTGTTTGTTTTTTGATGGATGTTTTTGTCAAATATGAAATTACTCTGATGGCCAACGACACCAAGACTTTCTCATCTTTAAGTTAAAAGTTTTGCTATGATATATTGATATCTCAGTCTGCTCCCATCTCTTTATAATCCCGGCTCAGGCGTCACCTGTTATTGTTCTGGGAGACAGTTTCCTCCAAATCAGATTTTCTTTATTTTTTCATTCCCTGTATTTTGATTCCCTGCAAGTTGATAAGAGCAGTGACGCAGCCTCCACAGACTGACGATAAAAGTCTCATGAAGTCAAAGTCAGAAGCACAAGGACACAGTGTGACACAAATAACGACGATGTATACCAAGGACGTTTTTCCCTGCATCTACTGACCGAGTATGTCTCGTTAATAAACTAAATCCTTCATTTGGTTACACTTTAAATTAAGGTCACAATATGCAACATGTGGTACGGACCGTGTCATGTACCGACATCATCTTCTTTGCTCAGAGTCTAAATG